GACTTTTACTTTCTTCATAGTCCTTACCCACTACATGTCTACCATCACTAGACCATAAGTCCAAAAGAAGGCGGCTCTCACATGTCTTATTTATCACCAGTGCTTAGAATCATACTGACACACAATAGGTACCATGTGTGGATCTGCATATGTATTTGTTAAGTGAATGAAAGAACAACTCTCTGAAGTAAGAATTATCTCCTTCTTACATATTAAAACAGGTGGTGATTAACGCTCCCTGTTTACACAATTGGTCAACAACAGGGCCATGATTTAGAGCTAGTTTTCAAACCAGTGCTCTTAAACACAGCACTATACAGACTGACTCTCAACTATTACTTTGTCAATGGTTGCATAGTGCTTTACACATCTTAGAGCCTCACCTATATTACTTAATTTCTTGTATTTGTTCTTTACTCTTTATTTTCACTGCCTTGATCCTTGGAAAAGTTCTCTGTACTGGTGACCTAAATCACTGAAACCGCTATTAGTTAAAAAGCATTCGCGTAAAGATTTCAATGTGAAACATTGGGGAAAAGATGAATAATTGTGTTAGCCATTGAACGGAATCATAATCTAGTGAGGAAGAACAAACAACTGCAGCCAATGCCTAGCAGATTACCACTTGTCCCTTCTGGGCTCAAACATCTTTACCGTTCACAATTCATATGAGATCAGTATACAAAGTCCCTGGCAACCTGGACCTAACCTAAGTTTTCAATCTCATCTTTTCCCGAAGCAGATTCTGACATCCAGGTAATGGCAGCTTCCGATGAGACTGAATGCTGGTGTAAACAGATGCACTAACTCCTGTGTCTGTCCCTCATACTGGAGAATACCTCCTCCTTCCCAACACAGCCCACCGCGCGGAGCCTGGGCTTTTGGAAACAGGAGTCGGCTGAAAGGATCTAACAGACGATTCATCCAGTGTTACCAACAAATTCAAGTTAAGGGTTTCTGAAAAGAGAAGGCTGAGAAATCTGCAAGGAAGTTAAGAGGTTGGGGCAAGACATTTGTCTCTCCACCTCTGTGAGGTCTGGAGGTAAATCCTAAAGCACCATAAAGTCTGTAAGGGTGTTTCCGTGGCAGCGGCGTCTACAGAGCAGGAAAAAAACCCAAAGGGGCAGCAGATTTCCAAGAAGCATGTCCCTTCCCAACCCGTTCTCTCTTCCCGAGACCCCCAAACCTAACGTGGAACACGCGGCCCGCCAGGATCCCAGCTCCACTCAACGCCTCCCCAACCCCACCGCGCCGCACTCCCACCTCCTCCACATAGGCCGGCGGGTCCCGCTTGATCAGATTCTGTAACTGCGGCAGGTTGCTGGGCAGCTTGTTATTGTTTCTGTTGGACATCTTGACTACTGACTGGCTCCGCGGCGAGCAATTTTAAGAAAATCCACGCCCCTGACAAACGCCACACGTCCTACCTGTGGCTAGGAATCGTGTTTCCGAGTACGACCGGAAACAGCACATGGACGCTTAGCAGGCGGAGCCATTTTGAATATTTAAGCGATCTAGACTACGGGAGCCTCAGAGTGTCAAACTTACCCTCACTGCCGAACTGCTCTGTAGTGATTTTACGACATTTCTGCATCCCCCCCCTGCCCCCCCCCGCTAACCGCTACTACCATCTAGCGATTCTGAGATCATGTGAACCGCAAAGAACTTTTTCAGACTCGTTAGTTTATTTCATCATCTCGACACTCCTATAAAACAGACAGATGAGGATTACTAGTTGTTGTTTTTTTAAATCTCACAGGTTAAAGTTAGAAGCTAAAAAAAAAAACTGCGGGGAGTAGATAGCACTATCCTATTGTATAGAGGCGAAAAAGAATAATGAGGGCGTACATTAATTTTTATTGTATAATTTTAAATACGTTTTTTGTTTTGCTTTGGGTTGTTTCAACTCAACGTGACCCAGATTAGGGAAAAATGTGTGGGCTGGATGAAATGTGGTCATGATGATTGGTTTAAAAATGCAAATTTGTATCTAAAAGTTAACCATTGTTATAACCTTTATAACAATGTTATAACCTTCGGCCAAGTTTTAAATTCAGTTCCTGGTAATTAGAAGAGGATATATTTCTAACATCTCACAGAATGCAAAAATAAATATGTGGTGAATCAATGTATGCCATAGGGAGTTGTTAATACAAAATACACCTGGTTACTCACCCTGTGCCAGGCACTGTTCCAAGAACTTCACTTGTATTAACTCATTTAATCCAAAAAACAGCCTTTTAAAATAGGTACTATAATTTTCTGCACTTTACTGATGAGGAAACAATTCTCAGACAGGCTGACTGCCTAAATTCAAGGCTGATGAGGATGCCGGGATTTCAATCCAGGCAGTCTTAAGTGTAACTAGATGAGAAAGAAAAAAGTAACCTGACAGCTGTCAGCTGGTAACTGGTTTGGCATTAATAGATGGATAGTGGTACTCCGCTTAACAAAAGCAATTTCATCGAATACCACCTCCAGTCAAGGTTATCTGGACTGGGATGGACTGAGCCAAACACAAAACCACATCTGAGCACAAACAAAATCCAAAACACTGTGCAAATCACAATGAGTTTTTCAGCTCCGTTTGGAGAATGACGATTCCATTTATAAATCATTGAATCAAATACGTGTGACGTTATTAAGAAGTAAATGTAAGCAATAAATCTTTTATTTAAAAAACCATTGATAGATTTAAATTTTAAAAAATTTTGGTGAGGTTGTATTAGTGAGTAAAAGAGCATTCTCAAAACAAATATATTGAAATTATTTAATGTAATTTCTGTCAAAATCATAAGCTTATGTACTATGAATATCACCTTGAGCTACCAAAATGTGACTTGTAAATGAAACACTTTGGCCATATCACAAGCTTTTATTCATAATCTATATGTCAGGCACTAGGGTAGATGCTAGGAATATACAAATAAATTAGACACGGGCATTTGCCTTTAGCAAACTCGCAGACTAATAAGGGATGTCCATACTTTTCTAATAAAAATATGTTGTCTTTTAAAAGCTGTTAGATTAGCCACTGGAGGGAGCTCATGCTTTTCTTTTTAACAAGAAAATTACACCATTTGATAAAAGAACCACATACAAACTCGACAGAAAACTGGTACCGGAAGAAATTTTAGTTCTTTTCAAGGCTGATTTAATTTTTTACTGTTCTTTCTCCCCCCACACACACCCCTTTTCCAGCTTTATGTGAGTTTTGCTGACAATTCCATCTATCCTTTCCTCTTTGTGGGCAGTGACAACTTTGGGGTCGATCAACACATCGATCAACCCCAGGCTCAAAAGGGACTAGCTCCACTATCTTTCTTTGATTTTTTGTTCTTAAACCACCATAGCCAAGTTCTTAAAGTCAAAATGTTTCTCAAGAACCATTTAATGGTATTATTTTGTATGCCTTTACACTCAAAACCTGATAGCATTTTAGTTGGCTTTAAAAGATCTTTAATAATTTTGTGAATGGAGAGGAGATAACTAGTTCCTTTGTTGATAGACCACTGTAGATTATGTCATTATTTAATCTTACAAATGTATAACAGAAGCAAAATCTTTCCCTTATCCTTTTGCCAGATTTCGTGGGTGTGCCGCATGAGCCTGATGCCATGCACTGCCTTATTCTGTAAGATTTACTGTTACTACAGGATTAAGACTATGTAAATACTATTAATGTGATTGAGTTTGGGTATTACTGATTTTCACTTTTATAAGAACACATTAGGAAAATTCCTATCATGGGACCCAAGATCTTCTATTACCACTATATAATTTTGCCATCTCATGGGAAATATAATAGGCTGTGGCTAGTATATAAGGATATAAGCAAGGATATAAGGATTTGTGGGTCCCTTTTCAGAAGACAAGTTATAATAACTTGGGAGAGAACATGTAATGTGTATAAATTCCCTATTTCTTTCTTTGCTTATAAATCATGCTTGCTTGCTTTTTTATTTCTATAAATTATTAGGAAGGAAGCTGTTCCTCTGTAATGCAAATAATATGAATGTTGTAGTGAGATGTCCTCAAGGATCTTATGTATTTCAGAAAATAAATAAAAGTGGTGAGAACACCTCTCACCTCTCCTGGAATGTGCTCCAGATTATACTATCCTCAGTTACAGAAGGAATAGCCCCATCTCTGTTGTCTGTCCCCAACCTGAGGGACCCACAGGGGTAACTGGATGATGGGAGAATCTTACCTCAAGCAAAGGAATGGAGTAACGTGGGTTCTGCCTGGACATTATTTGGCATTGCATTTGATAGGGAATAAAGAAAGAATGAAACCCTTTTGGAGTCTTCTAATGCCCATCTCATTGTTACAAAAATAATCTAAGGCCAGAGAGGTGGACTTCTCACATTTTGGCAGTCCTAAACTATTTTCCCACGACAGTTTATTTTAAAATATAAACATATTTAAAGGAGTATAGGGAGAATCGTTAAAAAAAGGTGGCCAAGTTAAGCCATCAGGTATTCATTAAGAAAAAACTATGTTGTACTGGAAAGAACATAAAAGGGGATAGATAATATTTTGGGAGAAACCTTAGAGATCATCGTCTCTCATGCTTCAGTTTGCAGATAAGGAAACTACTCTTCAGAGAGGCCATGAGGCTTGTCAGGGCTCCTCAGCCAGTGAGTGGCAGGACCAGAGATAGACAGTCTCTTGATTTCCAGGCTCTTGGTTGTATGTATATCTGAAGGTTCCTCTCAGTGTTAAAAGTTTGTGTTTGGGGCTGTTGGAGATAATAATAAAGATAATAGTAGCTAATGCCTATTGCTGAAAATAAGAAGTATATTATGTACAGCCTGTGTCCTTTGGGCTCTCTGAGAAGTAGGCACTAAGACAGAATCAGAGGATTACTAGTTGTAAACAAGTGGTTTATTGGAGGTAATTTTTATGAAAACAAAAGTGGAAAAAAGCAGAATTGGGCAGAGACTGCCTCAGACTGTGATAGAGGTCTGAGAAAGTCTTGATCAACCCAAAAGGGAGCTCCTGGTTAACGATTGCCCATTAGAGGCATCCTGCATGGGGGAGAAATGATCAGGCCCTAGTGCCCTCTCTATGCTCAGTCATTGGCCAGAGACTGCCCCGTAAGAAGCTGGCCTCAGCCTAAAACCTGAGGTTTGTCCACACTGTGGCAGCTAGAGGGTGTCAGCTAACTGCCCTCCTTGCGGCTGAACAAGTTGAAGGGTTATCCAAGCAGCACATCTCCATGGCTGCTACCTACCCCAGGTGGCCCTGAAGTTGTCTAGTATTCTGGAGTTACCTTCAATATCTAAAAAAAGTGACTTAAGCCCTTATTCTACCAATTAGGAGAAGTCCAAACTCCCGTATTTCCAGAGAATTTCAGGAAGGCTTGCGTTTAAAATAGAATGTTACACAGCAGTGTTTTAAAGCTTGTCATTTCACTACAAGAAATTTCTCACTGGTCTTCTTTGCCTTTCCTCCAGCCTGCTGTCATTTTTATAGCTGCCCTCCCATCTTCCTCCACTGTCCCCTTTTTGTGTTGTTCTAAGAGCCCCAACAGCCTCCCGAGCTGTCAGAGATAATCCCTGTTTCTTACTATTCAGAGAAATGTAGCTTGCTTTTGCTTTAACTTTCATTCCATAAAAACTCCTACCCAGTCTGGCCCTAATCAAAGGCTCCGAACAAGAGACACCTGCCCTGAGGTAAATTCTGCTGTTTTTAATACTGAAGTGATGATTGCTGGCATTTCTCCTTTTAGACAACTACACGTTTTTCCTCTCTGTTACATGGTTTACTTTGCCACTTCTCTCACACTTATAGATTTTGATGTTTAGTTCCTCCTTCCAGAGGAAGTTCATATTGTTTACTCCGATGTTTAAGGAATGCTGATGGTAGGTGGCTGGTGCTACTCAGTCTTACGCTCCACACACAAGTTAGAGGCCAAAACTTCATTCCCTGAGGATGGAGATACCAGGCACTCTTTCCTTTTTTTTTCTTTTTAAACAAAACAAATTCTTTTTTGTCATCTTGAAGCAGTATAATGAAATACTATGTATACAGGATGGATTTCTTTATTTGTATAGCAGACTTTTAAAGAAAGCAAATACTGGCAATTATGTATAATTTGACATTGTTCCCACTAATCTCTTATCAGTTTTCCCCAGTTCATAATCTTATTCAGACCTCAACTTGATTGCTCCTTTTTGATTTATTTACTTCCTTAAAATGTATTGTCAAGGGGTGACCGGTTAGCTCAGTTGGTTGGAACGTTGTGCTGATAGCACTGGGGTTGCCAAGGTTGCTAGTCTGATGCCCACATGAGCCACTGTGAGCTGCATCCTCCTTAAAAGAGTCAACTATGCCATTGTAGCATGAAAGCAATGTGTAACCAGTGACCATGACTGTTCCCCAATAAAGTTAAAAAAAAATGTAGTGTCAAAAACCCTTCTTCGAACTTTAAAAGAACTTGGTGTCAAAATGTCTCAAGTTTTTGTTTGTCTTGTTCG